AATAGTTTAATCACGGGAAACTGGATAAATCACTTATCTGATACTTCGAGCTGAATAACTACCGCTACCTATAAGGTAGCTAATAATATTGGGAATCAAATTTGATTTTCCTAATATAATAGTTATTCGGCACTTCGTGCTGAATAATTATTAATTATCCTGTTGATGGAAGACGCGATATCTTTCGAAAATAAAAATTTTTAACTCACGTTCAATGGTTATTATTCCGAGAATTCAGTCATTGGTAAGAATACAAAAATATTTTCTGTACCTGTTTAATATCGGTTTAACTCTGGCCGAAATTACAATAAGGTTTATAAATCTGGCCATTTCTCAGCCAAATTTTAAAGATTTTGACTATTTAGAGAAAGAAACGTGATATTTAGAGGCAGTTACAAAAATCTGTTATTAGCTGACCATTCATTTAAAGAAAATATTGCTAAACGAAATTGAAAAAATAAATTTTTCTTGAAATTTTTATGCTATTACAAAAAAAGCTATTAATTAGTTCTTCTATCAATCTCAGATCAGAATTAGTAAGTAATACCAAATGAAAGCCAAAGTTTGGGGTTAAATAAATATTCAATAATTTTTTTCGCGAAACTATTTATAGTAATTTGTAATCAAACATGACTTTCTTTTAATCGAAAACACGATAATCTTAGATTTAAATCTTTTTTTAAATTTTAGTAACTTCACATTTTTCGCAAAAATGGATCTTGCAAAAGAGATTATACTTGAGCGAAGAGATACCATTTTTAACAAGAAAAATCTGCAGAAATTGTTGAATTTTCTCAAGTAACAATTTCTCAAGTTTTGAAATCAAATAATCAAACTTTTAACAAACGAGCATGTCGTCACAAAATTATGACTAACAAAACGAAAGAAATTGACAAATGCTCTTAAAAATAAAAATTCTAGATTCAAAAGCTTAAAGTTTTCTTAAAAAAATTAGAGTTGTGAAGTGTATATAAACAACCATCCAAAATGTGTTGCGGATAGAAGGTATTCGATCATACATGCCGCGTCCAAATCAATTGATTTCTAATCAAAAAAAAAAGCCAAGAGACTTGCTTATGAAGAAAAATAAAAATTAGACAATAGCCTACTGGAGGAAATTAATTTGTCAGAATAATCTACTTTTTCTCAGTTTCAAACCTCAGGATGGAGTAGAATCTGATAAAGAATTTCATGAAAATTGTATCACCTCAACCGTAATACACAGTTCCAAGTGAATATTTTAGAACTGTTTTCATAGTTTGGTTTCAGTCATTAGTTTTGTATCGTCTCAATCGTAATATACAGTTCCAAGTGAATATTTTGAAACTGTTTTCATAGTTTAGTTTCGGTCATTAGTTGGTCTTGTCACTGTTAAAATCTATCGTGAAGTTCTTGAAACTTATGCTTTATCAACTTTTAAAGCACAACACGAAAATTTGTTTTCCAAGAAACATCTCACCTGAACATACTGCAAATGTTGTATGAGATTTTCTTCATTCAATTAAAGTAAAACTTTTGCATGGCCACCTAAGAGCCTGACCTTAATACTATTTAATAACTTTGTCAATTGTTGAGTCAGGGCTTCAAAACGTAAACCTGACTCATGAGCTGAAAATAGGGTTGGATCGGTCTGGTCTGGTCTGATCTGGTCCGGTCTAAAAAGACCAGTGCCAATTTCCAAAGCTTTATGTATTAGTTATTCTACGGGGATCAATAGATATCATTGATTTTCACGGCTGCGCTGTGAAAATATCAATGATATCCATATGATCGCTGTGAAATAAATTTTTTATCTCCTGAGGACTAACGCCTATGATGAAAAATTTTAGTTTATTAATAGTTTATTTTATTTAGCTATGAAAAGTTTATTTCATTATAAAACATTTATTT